AAATTATTTTGAGAATTCTTTCAGGCTCGGGATGAGAGTATCTGACTTTTAGATTTTGTCAGGCATTTAGGGAACTCTACTAGTCCAACTTAAATTTATAGCTTGAGGTTTTTTTTTAACATGTAGGGGGTATGAATTTGGACTGCAAATAGGTATTAGGGCTTGTTTACAATGACAATTTATTGGAGATTTTTCCTAACTTGGTCTGCCCAAAGCTAAAGGAACTTTTTTTGCAATGCCCTAGTACAGTGCCCTAGGGTTTCTTATTAGTTCATGCTCATCCTGAAGTGTAGCCCTTTGGAGTGTGTGCTTTACAGCAGGAGAGTTTTTTATTTCTATTCACCATGTCCTGTCAAGCCCTCAAAATTGAAGCTCAGAGTCCTCAGATTTGGTAAATGCCCCAGGACCAAAGCACCTTCAACGGTTTGTTCTTTCTTCAGGGTCTCATTTCCACTTGGATTTTGAGGTGGTAATTTCTTACTGTCCTGTGACTTCAATACTTTTAAATTAAAAAAGAAAGTTACCCAATAGTTTTTGATTTTAGTGGGAACATGGTCAGAAATACCTAGACTGCTTACATATCTGGAAACAGAATCTTCTAGTAATAAAAATACAAAGAAAGATTTTATCAAATTTTTGGTGTTACCAGTTTGCACATAAGATTCCTGGAATTTCTTCTTAATCTTCCCATGGTATGTGCTCAAATCACTTAGAAGGTAAATCACTTAATTTTACCTTCTAAGCTCCTTTCTGTTTCTCCTGTAAAAAAGGCATTAAAAATAGCCACCGATTTTGGAATCCGCCTCAATAAATTCCACAGAACCCCTTGATAGTTGAGTTAAAATTATATTTTTGTCTTACTCCGAAAACAATTTGATTAAAATCTTAAAATTCCCAAGAGCACCACCAGAAATACAAATAGACAGAAGGGCATTTGGGAGCACACACCCTGAATTCTAACCTCTGCTCTGCAGTTAACTAAAGGAGCTCTCAGTGCGATCTGAGGAACGACCCCCATTAAGTTATATGCACACAGTTTTATTTACAAATGAGAATTTTTCTGTGAAGTGGGTCCATAGCTTTAGGCTAATTCTCAGAAGTCTAAGACCCAAGGAAAGTTATGAACTATTGAGCTACATAGAAGGTAATCTTAGGTAGATAATTTGTCCTCTTTTTACCTTAGTTTTCTAATCTATATTTTGAAGAAACAATCTTAGTTCATGAATTTACTGTAAGGATTTTTCAAAAAGACAATAATATGTGAAAATGCTTTGAAAGTTATCCATCTTTTAAAAAAACTTAGCGAAATGTTCCACTCTTGGTAACACTTATTAAAATGTTCGGGGTATTAATATTATACGGGGTATCAAAACACTGTAGAAATGTGTTTATCTTAATGACATTTATCCAACAAACATTTGACTGCCTAATTTGTGTTGAATGCAGAAAACAGAGATGGAGAGGGACATCTTACTTCGGTGGTTGGTTGAAACCCCAAATGAGGAAGACGATCAGGAATATAAGTTTTGACTTGTTGCATTTGAGTAGGTACCTGGGTGGGAATGCATCACAGACAGGTAGGAAAATTCAGAGGTCTGGGCTACAGATATGAATGTATGGAAACTTTAGTAGATTGGTGATAACTGAGACCATGTGAATGGCTGAGGTCAGCCAAGATAAACAGGGAGATAAATGGGGCATGCCAACATTTAAAAGGTAAGTAAAGAGGAGCCCCAGAGAGATAATGGACTCAAGATGTTAAAAAATAGAAAACAAAATAGTTTCAAGCAATGAATTATTAGCAATGGCAAATACAGGAGAGATCCTCTGGTAAGATAAAAACTCAAGATACTCTTTTGGCAATCGAGAGGTCACCGTTTTAATGAGGAATAACAATCAGACAGGAAGTGAGGCAGTAAAGGGAAAGGAAATGTACACAGCTTGAGAAGTCTGGATATGTATGCGAGAAACAGGAACATGTTTATTTGCTGAGGAGAAAGGACTAGAAAGGGGAAGTTGAAGATAAGAGTTGGTTTTTCCTCAGACTTGAAAATCTGGTAGAAATCTTCAGGCTACTCAGGAAGACTAATCAGAATTAAACTTGTGGTCCATTCATCAGGAGAGTTCATAAGCATAAGAGTTAATCCATCTTAATAAAAACTACAGAATATCATCACTAGTTTAAATAAAAGAAGTAACAGCTCAGTAGCCAATTACCAAATTAAAGTTTTAAAAAAGTAGGCCAGGATAACTATTTTTAATTGAAAATTTTTTCCAACCAAAGAATGTTTTTTGTCTAAGATAAATAGAAATCATTACAAGTCAAAATTCTATTTTTCTGAAGAGATTATGCTATAAACTCGCAGAAAAGTCAGTTGGCAGGCTACACTACTTGCCAAGAGAGCAACATGAGCCCTGAAAAGTGGTAAAAACTTCAGGTCCCTTGTGAACAAACCAAATAAGTCACCAAGAGTCCTGTATACCAAAGAGGTGATGGGTCAGTCAGCCCACGTGATAGCATGCAGGCAAATTCTTGATTTTGTAGGACTCATTTTCATGTTAGTTAAAAAAATTTTGGTTAAGTCAGTAACTCGAATGGTTCTAAAATTCCTTTCAAGAATGCATTTTTCTGCTCGAGTAACTTAAATATTTTTAAAAGTTTTAATGGAATGAAGAACTATGAACCAAATAAAGATGGAGTGGTCTCTGGGGAACAGAACAATTAGAGAAACTTTTGAATAAAATGATAATTTAAAGTTAAGTGGTGAGAACATGAATACATGGGAGAGGTGACTGATTTTAATTGGCTGCAGAACGCTTTGGCTGGTTTCTTTAAAATATAAAATGCAGATCTTAAAACAGTCAAAACAAAACAAAAATTTTAAAATGTATTTAAAGGCTTGAACACTTGGGCCTATATCAGGGAAAGGGGTGTTTGTAGCAAGCTAATAAAACCAAGAAATTTTTGATTTAGATTATTCCTTCCCTCCATCAAGTCAAAAATATTGCTTGAGTGCCCGATAAAGGACATCAAATCGCTGGTAACTGTATACAAAGCACTTTTTAATCAGTTTGTACTTGTCACACATACCCTTCCAAGAGGCTGAATTCCTTTTGCAGGGCTGCCTGCATCAGTGGTCTCCACTGCCTCATCCCTTTGAGGCTTACATCCCTCCTGGTCCCTTCCCTTCATTCACTGAACACTCTGGCACCTGATTTAGCTTTACTCTACAACTTCTGCCACCTTCCTGGAAAATTTTAGTGTCCACTCGTACAACCCACTTTTTTCTTTCAGGTTCCTTGACCTTTTCTTGTCTCCAATGATCTTTACTTTAGTTAGCCACTGCAAGGTCACACCTTGGACTCTACTACACCATGAACTCGCTCCTCTCAAATCACTAAATCCAAGCATCATGGTCTCACAAGAGCATTTCTTATCCTTCTAAACCTGCTTGTTCAACTCCCAACAGATCAGAGCTGTCATCAGACTGTCCATCAAACTGTCTTCTCAATGCTTTGTGGTGCCTTCATGTCCTTTCTTCCCTATCCAGTTTAGATACCATGTAGGACCATTCCTTCAACAACTCGATTATTTCAGTAACTATTCAATTATTGTCTTTTTCTTTCAAACTTATCTAGCAAAACCCCAGTATCTCCGTTTTCTCTTTGTCTGTAACCACACATCAGGAAAACAACCCCCGCCCCGCCCCAAATCCTAATAGTCAAATCTTCACTCTAAGTTCTCAATCACCAGAGTTGGGTCCTCCACACTGTTCTACTATACCTCTGGTCTCTTTATTCTCTACAATACCTATTTTAAAACCTCCATTTTAAAAACTCCAATCCCCTCTGGTTCTGACTTTGCAGAGAAAACCAAAGGCTGCACACGCACCTCTCCTCTCCTTTCTTCTAGAATAAAAACATCCCTCTAAGAGCCAATCGCTCCACCAGTGCTTTGGATCCCTCCCTCTACCTTCTTTGGAACCCAACACCATCACTGATCTCTTTGACTCTTATCTTCAACTTCGTCTTTCCTGGGTCCTTTTCAGAGATAAAGCAGTAGCTAAAATGCTACATTCTCTTTTTCACACTCAAAATTCAGTTGCCTAAGATAGCTTCTTTCTGACATCTGCCTCCTCTACTACCTGGAAGAGAAGTTAGATCCAATAGACGGGCTTAATTCCTCACTCTATTTGATATCTTAGCAGCATTCAACACCTGTGCATAAAAACTCCTTTGGCTTTCATGACTTTATTCCTCCAGGTTTTCCTTTCACCTCTTTAGCTACTGCTTGTCAGTCTCCTCTACCTGCTCATCTTTTGCCACTTAACTTTCAAGAGTTCCTATGTTTGCCCTGGGTCCTCTTCTCTTTATAGCAGAAATTGGCACATTTTAAAAAAAATACCGTTTAGTAAATAATTTTAGGCTTTGCAAGCCACAAGGTCTCTGTTGCAACTACTCAACTCTGCCACTGTAGCATGGAAGCAGCCATAGACAATAAACAATGGGCACGGCTGTATTCCAGTAAAACTTTAAATATATAGACAGTGGGTTGGATTTTGCCTGTGGTTTGCCAGGCCACTCTATACTCTCCCTAGAGAAGTAGCCTTTCCTGGGTTCTCCAGTGATCATGTATACATCAAACTCCTACCTTGATATCCTTCTGTCCCCAAATCTGTATATCCAACTTATGTATATTTAAATGTCCCAAAGTCATCTCAAATTTTAATATAGGAATTGTGCTCTTTCCCACCAAATCTGGTCTTTCTCAAGTGTTCTCAAATTTATCTCAAATCTTAATATAGGAATTGTGCTCTTTCCCACCAAATCTGGTCTGTTCTCTCTCAGTAAGAGGCACTGCCATTCATATAGTTGCATAGAGTAGAAAATAAGAGTCATCTTTGATGCCTCTCCCTCTCTCATTCTTTAATTCTTTGAACTGAAGAAATACCTTAAAAAGGCAAGTCTGGAAATGCCATTATTTGAAGAACACAGTCAAATTTAAGATTTCACTAATAGAGCTAAACTTTATTTCCATGTTTATTACATGTTTATCTTTGATGTTGAATACATATGAGATTTAACACACAACTTTGGAGAAAAGCTGAAATTCTCCACTGAATGGGTTAAAAAGGAATGTAAAACTACAAAATACTTGTTTAAGTGCAGAATTCTAAATTATGGCAAACAGAACAATATATACCTTGCCGCTTTTCTCTTTCTAGTTTTCCAAGATGGATTTCATTATAAAATATTTTCTCATAATAATTAAAGGAAATAAGGGATAATCATTAAAACCATTTTGCTTTTAAGTATATAGTACAAATAAAGAGTCTTAATACAGAACTCCTATCTCCTATTTAAAATACAAACACTTCATGATATTATGAATTGAGGGGGATAAACTGTTATCAGTTGCAAATCTAATGACGTAAGCAAACCCACACATGCCATTTGCTTTTGTCTGGAATAGTTAGGCTGATTTAAGGGTGACACACAGCAGAGTTCTATTTGATATCTATGTTAACCACTGCTACTCAGAATGGGGATGGCCTAATACTAAGAGCTTAGTGATGGAAATTCAGGATTAATCAGTTCCAAGTGGCTAAGAGCTAATAAAATTAATCATTCCAGTCCCCAATCTATGACCGAGTACAAATGTACAGATTTTAGCATTCACTGAAAGCTTTATAATCCTCCTCTAAATACTTTGAAACTGCTGCAATTCATAGTACACAAAGAATATAATCTACAATATAATTCCAATGTTTAAACAAAATCAAAATTATAGATGGTTATCAAAGTTGTTATTGGTAATAAATAGTTCCTTGATTCTCTATAAGCCCCTTAGCACATTTTGTGAAGGTGTGTATTCTTTTTAATACTACTAATCTTTAGATACATTAAAAAAATTCAGCTTAAAATTACTTTCTACCAGAAATTACAGGATGAAGTTCTTACTAAAAGTGAATAATGCTTATTGTTCTCGTTAAACAAGTGTTTGAAATCATTTGCAAAAACCTATATATTTTTTAATGATGCTTATAAAAGATGTTTAATAAAGGCAACTCACCTCTCATTAGGTTACTCTACTGATAAAATATTTCTCATGTAACTGTTTAGAGGACATGATTTATGGCTTTTCAACTTTTAAAATTTCACATTTAATGTCATCTTGTTAAAGTGTTTCTAAATTAGTCTTCCAATATCAGATTCTTAAATGAGAAAACAAAGAACAAAAGAGACAAACTCTGTATCAACTTAGCCTCCCGTCCATGAAAATCAGTATTTCTCTTAAAATTCAATGCACACTCCTTTTCTTAGAATAGGGGTCAAGAAATTTTTTCTGTAAAGGGCCAGGTAATAAAACATTTCAGGCTTTGTAGGCAGCCATGTGGTCACTATTGCAACTACTCAATTTCTCCTACTGTCCTCAGCAGCCATAGGCAAGATGTATTTACAGAAAAAGAGCAGTGCAAATTTGGCCTGCAGGCCATAGTTGTCCAACCCCTGCCTTACAAGACCTAAATATAAAAGAATCATCTAAAAAAATAAAAAAACTGGTCTCCAGTTAGATGTGATGACTGACTCAGAATCTAGCAGTTAATCACTCTTTGACATTTTGATGCTGAACACCTAGAATTTAGCCAACCTTCAGTTTTTGGTTAAGATCCTTCTATTCAAACTCATGTTGTCATGCTTTTCACTAGGGATAACTTATCTTCATTTAAGAACTTGCTTGAGTATTTATTGAGGGATTCAGTTTAAAATTAATAAGTGATAACCATACAATTTAATATCCAATTTAATTTTTAAAAATCTTAATGAAAAATATAACAGAATAAAAAAATTTAAAACAAGTACACTTACTATCCATTCCAGTAATTCATTAAGTCATATTAACTATAGAATAAGAAAAATAAATTCAGAAGTGTAATTACTTTAAAATACACTACTTCCACTTCTGTCAATATTTTACATTTATGTATATATTCTATAGTGGAAGCAGAAATTCTCTCTAAAAACATCTCCTTAAAATCTTGAGGTGCATATTATAGCCACAGGCAATATCTGACATATAAAATTGCAGTACACGCCTTTCAAATTTGGCATTTTACTGGTACAATACAATGACCAACGTATATAATCACTGTACACTGCCTAGACATTCCAGTAAGAACCATTATTTTCTTTAATGTAGAATGATTAATACATATTCTACCGGGGCAGTGAGGTTAGTAATTCTACAGGGTATGTCCTGACATAATTTTCAAATTGTACAATAACACAAACAACTTTGTTAAGGCCATGTTTTATTTGCTGATTAATGGACAAAAGGCAATGTAATTTATTTTCAAGTATTTTCTTGAAAGTCTGTGCTCATAAAAATCATGAAAAGTTGGAAAGACTGTTAAATCATTGAAACTTTAAATATATCTTACACAATCTTGTTTGTACAAAAATACAAGTTAAATATAAACATAAAGCAATCATGATAATTTTATGCAAATCTGTTTTATGTGATCTTCAGTTATATATAAAAGTTTCTTGGTTCTGTTATTTGTGAAAAGATCAATATCAGATTAAATTACTATCTATTGGCAAAGGGCCCTAAAAAGCTGACTTTAGCATTAATCTTTTACATGGTTAAGTGCATTTCTTAATTTGAGATCACCAAACACTGAAAAAAAAGAAAAAATGAAAGAGCAGTATGTCCATAAACCAACAAATAATTTGGCTGTAATGTATCATAAAACACAAGAAAACCTCACACATCTGTACAATAAACACCATGTATTACATACACACAGGTATATACGTGCGTGCATGCACGTAAATACACACATACACGCACACACATAGGCTAGCACACAGACCCAGTCATAAAACAAAGCCTAATGAGGTGCTGCTTCCAGTTCGATATTCAGCCTTGCATTTTTTCTTACTTCATCAAATGAATAGCTTTTTGTCACTTTTCCATTCTTGAAGACAGTATGGAGAAGATCCTGCACAAATACAACAATACTAAAATTTAATAATTAGACTAACAAGCAAACTACTTAAGTAATGAATGCTTCGATGAATTAGACTGACTAGTCAAATAGAGATGTTGATGGTGTTCAAATTATGGAATGATTTTATACACAAAGAATGCTGGTAGGGCAGGCAGAGCAAGGTATAATCTAAAATGGCTACATAGAAATATTTAACTTTTATGAATGGGAATGATCAAAATATTACATTCTGAAAACAATTTTCCTTAAAAGAAAAACCGAAAGACCTAGTTGACCCATCTTTTTTTTTCTTCAAGACAGAAGATGCTTGTTGCTTGGTTGCCTAGAACTATCACTATCCGTGATAAGCATGACTGATAGAGCAGTAAGGAAAGTCTGCCAGATCTTCCCTTGTTCCCAGCCAATAGACCCAATACCAGTTAAACTCATCAACCTGCAATTTAATAAATTTCCTAGTCACTGAGTTGGGCCTTAAAACAAAAAACAAACAAACAAGCACACACACGCCTCTAAAAAAACAAGAAACCAAAACTAAACAGAAACATAAATAACTACTAATTCTTGACTAATGCATAGTGACTGATTTAAAAAGACCACGTATATTCGAAAAGTCACTGATACACATAATCGATCTGATCCATGCAAGGGTAACAAATACAAATTGAGAAATTAGGACTAAATTCCCTTTTGGGTCTGTTAAAGCCATTCCTCTCTCACTAAGGAATTATCTAACTCTAATTTCTCTTTGAAGAATCCATCATGCCTAAATTTTTCCATCTAGTCTGAAGACTGTGAGATACATATGGCATTATCTAATATTTTTTGTCATTGTGTTGTTTCAAATCATACTGCTCTAGCTATAGCATTTTCTTGCATAAAGTTCAATACGATCTGTCAAGGAATGGTGGTTCCAATTTTTAAATCAAAATGCTTAATTATAAATTGATTACTGCTTCAAATGTTCTAGAATATCATTCACATACTCTTAAAATCAAAGCCTTTTTTTAAGTAATAGTTATGACCATGTCTAAAATGATGTCAGTCCATCTGGAATAAACTAATTCAGCAAAGTCTTGATAGGTATAAGAGTTAAGTGAAGGCTACTCAAAGAACTGCATTAACAGACCATATAAAGGGATCTAATTCTAAAAGACTGCTTAGGAACATATATATTTTTCATTAAAGATAACAGAAAAATGTTATTTCATTAATTTTGGCTCAATCTTAGAAGAATATAACGAAAGTAACAAAGAATATTTGATATGGTATAAAGAATCTAAAGTAATAAATTAGTATTTGTTTAATGTAAACTTTTCTTTGAGAACAGGAATATACATGAGTAGATTCCCTTTAAAAATGAGATTTTTTTTTCAATCTAGTAGCTTGAGAAACAGAAATTTATAACTTTGAGTTCATGAATGTAAATATGTTTTTGTATGTTAAAGGCCATTAGCTCATATGGACTTTAGCATACTATATATTTTTCCAGTTTGGTTGACCTGAATCAGAAAACTTGGTTGAGCCTAGGAGTCAACATTTATTAGTTATGTAATCTGAATCAAGTCACGTAGTTTCTCACATTACACTACTAAGATGACATAATTTGCCTTTTTAGCCCATAGAGTTGCTGTGAGAATCAAATGAGACTCAAAAGAAAACATCAGGATTCCATTAAGTTTTTAAAAATGGAATTATATTTAACATTTTAGAATTTGGATAGCCCTTCTTTTATCCATTAAAATTACCAGAGTTTACTATAATATAAGAAGTTATGAGAAGTCTAAAACAGCATTCTTTAAGTATTCCTAACTATTCCTCTTCAGAAAAGATTCATTGCTAACTGGCAGTAAGATCAAATACACAGTTTGCTTAAAAGCTCATCAGTCACTATGTGGAAAAACTTTTACTTTTTTTGAACGTTACAAAGTATTTCACCCAATGTATGTACAGGTCTCATATTTATGATCTAGCCACTAATATCTTTCATCTTATTTTGGTAGTCTAGGTCAGCTGTTATATATTTTACAATAAAATTGTTTTGTCTTTCAAGAAAAAAATTGTTCTGAAAATAATTTGAAATCAAAATACAACATAAAAGTTTCCTTTCTTAATGTGGAGAGCCAAACTACTATTGTTACAAAAACAAAAAACCCAATCAGCATGGATACATACATGACCATATTCTTCAAGGTCTCCTTTTCCTTCCTCAAGTGTAACAAAATTCCCTGCTGGTGTCCTATGTAAAGATAATCGGCCCTTTTTGGACCTTTTGTTGGGATCAGCAACTGGGTCCTTGAAGACATTAATCTGTAATACAAATTAAAAAAGAGAAAAAGAAGACTGTCAGAAATGATCACTCAACTCCATTGGAAAAAAAGTATATACATAATTTACATATGTTTTAAAGCATTTGTAGGTATAATGAAACTAATCTATATTGGGCTTTTAGAACATAATTCTGGCCTGTTTTGGAAGACAGAGTCTTGTTAGGAAGATACAAACACAAGCCAAAATCTTGGCTATCCTTCCTTACCAGTGCAGAATATCGAATACTCCATTTTAGATAGTCTTTGAAGTTAACATGTGATCCTTAAGGTATCTCTTTTTATATTACAAATTGCCTTTAAACTGATCTAAAGTATCCAAAAAAAAAAAGTCAACCGAATTATATAATCTGTGGCAAGGGAACTAGGATTTTACTAAAGTAAAAGCTTTCCTACTTCATAACCTTTCCCTGTTGTTTCATTTTACTCTATTACCCTTGATACTATCAGAAGCAAAAAAGACCCAGAGAACCTGAAGAGAACAGAATGTTTCTGAATCAGAAAGGTAGAAACAAAACATAATAGAAGCAATTAGTGATAGTTTTGAAAGGAAAAACAGATGAGTCAGTCTCAGAACTCTACAAAAAAAGATGGAGGTGAAGTAAAGCAGAGGATCAACCCTGTTCTTAAGAGAGTTGTTAGTTTCTCTCACCCCAACCACTGACCCACAAACTTTTAAGAGTGTATGAACATCTAGGGGGATTGCTGTTCAGCTGCCTAGCAGCTTGGGTTCTACTGTTCTAAGGCTACTGGAACATGATTCTGGTATCATGACTCCAATCTCATACTCCACCTTCCTGAAAGTCTGTTTTGATAGTGTTTACATACTTGCTTACCTTTAGTATACATTGGCTAGGCTAGCTGACACTCTCTCTCAAGTAATGCCAACTTTCTGACTTCAAAGTTATATACCGAAGTAGTGGGAAATGACTGATTTGCATTATGTCTCTTACCTAATTTCTCGCCTTATTTTTCCCCCTTTTTCCAAGTCTCTTTTTTTCTCCTAAGTCATGTTATTTATTATCTAATGTCTCTTTTTTTTCCTTGTTTCTGAGTCAAAATCAGTGGTATCCAACAATACTAATAGTTCAGTTCAAGACCATATCATCCTTTGACTATTGCGTTCAATAACTGCATTCTACCTAGATACATAAAAAAGGTACTAATACAGGAGTAAAAGTAAAAGGACGTACCCCAAGGCCATTGGTTACAACATAACTACACTTGAAGGAACAATTCAAGAGATCTCTTGTTAACTTCTGTAGCAAAGCTCCACCAGAACCGAAGGAAACATTTTCAATACTCCACTTTTTTTGTTTCATGCCTTCTACAATCTACAAGATTAAAAGATAAAGAAAACAAACAAGTAAAAATTAAGTAATTTGGAAGAGGAAGCAGGTAATTTTCCATGGGCCATACTGATGAATAAACTATTCTAGAACTGTTTTATAACACAGTAAATGATGATAGAAGACTAAGGCCTATACAAAATTATATCTCACCATTGTCTCTTTTAAAAGATACACCCACCCAAAAAAAACAGCCTGAGGGATAGTGTGAAAGCAAAGGGTTTTGTTCAAAGTTACTGAATCTGTTGTTGTTGTACTATAATTGTGGTTAGGGTTGGGGAAATGAAGTAAATGAGAGGGAGTGAGAAAAAACTGGCTACAAATATCAAAGGTTACTTTAGTAAACTTCTCTCATCTGTCTCCTAAAGTTAGTGAATCATTAAAAATTCACCATATTCCCCTCAAATACTAAGAGTCTCAACCTAACTTATTATTTTGGACACTGCAATATAAAAATTATATAAACTCTAAGAACCTTTATCTTTTAACAAACCCATATTTAGAAAACTAACCTTTGTAAACCCCAACCATCTAATTCTACTGCTATATGTGAAGAGTCAAGATGGAAAATACACAATTTAAAGTGATTCCTTAGACTGTACATAATCCTAGTCTCGAATCTTTATTATTATACATGAACCTCAAGTACCCTAGGTCCCCACATTCAGATCTATTTTTCACTGAAATAACTGTGAACAAATATATCTAAGACAACAACAATAAAAGTCTTATAAAAATGTGAACTTAAGGAATGTTTCAAGAGAGTGAATTTCAATGTGGAAGAAATGCAGAGTAGAGTAGGAAAATGAAGGGAAAAAAGGAAAACAGATAGATGGAGGGCAAGGCGGTTTGGGCAAAAAAAAAAAAAAAAGTTTCAAGCCTGTCACCTGATTTTAGATATGCCTCAAGAAGCACAAGAATGAGAAAATTACAAAGAACAGTAATCATCCAATGTATATCTCTGTATTGCTGGTTCAGTTTCTTTAGGATATTCTTGCCATATAGATTCACCAAAAAGTTATAAAATTTGGACAATTCAAAGTTTAAGTGAATTGTTCTGTTAAGAGTGTAGGAAATGATAGAATTAGGGAAAAATTACTATTTAAAAATATTTACACATACAAATCAGAAAGAAATCTGACGACCTAATTTGACATAAATTATTGTCAGACACTACTCTTTATTTTCCTATTTCATCCCAAGTTATTTAAGTAACTGAAATGAGAAGTCATATTATGCCATTAGCATTTAAATAAAATATTTTTGTTATCACAACCATACATCTGAATCATTTCCTATAATCTATAATGTTTTCACAATACTTACATTTAGATAAAAAAAATTAATGTGCTATCATTAGGATTTACATAAAACCAATGTTTTCTAGTAAATCTCTGGAACAAAGTTGTGAAGATCAGGAGCAATTTCTCAGAAAATTCGTAGAAAGGTAGAGAAAAGTGTTCTAGGAAAAGAATAGTGGGATAGCTAAAGAGGAAGAAGTGTTTAACATATGTAGGACTTCACTTGCAAAGAAATCTTGCCAATTTTGAGAATTAGGTGCTATTTTAATGTCATTAATGACTGAATTCTTAACTGATACACAAACAGAAAGAGAAAACAGACACTTTCATGTTTTGTCCAACATAAAAGAGATTTTTGCCTTTTTAAAAAAATAAGCAGATTGATTGTGGTATACACAACCCTTTAGTAGGCTTACATTGCAACTTCACAGAATGTCACCAAAAAACTGACTGAGTAAGCAGTCCAACAGGCTGACAGTCAATGAAAGAAGTGAGAGCTGTTTGAAATTAAACAGATCTTTAACTTTGTCAAAGTTATGGTATTTAATTTAGTATATGTACAAAGCAAAAACAATATATGAATTCTTCCTGCTTCTAAAAACTTATTTTGACCTACCTCTAATATAAAGAAAGCAGGATCACCCTTTAAGTAAACTTATGTATGAGTGCATCTGCATTACACAAACTATTCAATCTCTGCTTGTTCTGTTTAAGGTTTTACCAGTGCCAAAAAATATTTGTTTCAATATTTAGCTTCCTGTTACAGTTAAAAAGAAAAGTTCAAGTTTTGAGCTGTTTTTCAACTTTTAAAACACACGTACATTCTCAAAGTTTATTTAAAACAAACAAAAAAACCGGAAAACCAAAAAAAAAGAGGAAAGCTGAGACCTTTGGTTTTTTAGAGAGAAGTTTAAATACTGATTGAAAGACTCAAAGAGCTCACCGCTGGAACAAGGAAGGGCAGTGGGAAGAGAATGGGGCTAATGGGTTTTCTGAAACTGGTACAGTACTCTGATACCAAGATAAGAAATCTTTAATTCAGCTAAGCTAAGGAGACAACAGCAATTACATGTGCCAGTTGATATTTCTATACTCAGGTCTTCCTCCTCGTGTGGACTTTTCTTCTTTCTCTTCCCTTTTCAAATGAAAGCCCCTAATGTCCCAACACCAAATATCTCAGAAGAGGTTGGGGGAGTTCCCACTTTTCTTAGGCAAAGCGGTCTGGGAGAGTTGGTGAAAGAAACCTTGTTCCTGTTATTGCAAGAGATCTATGCCAGATACAACCTTTGGGAACTCTAAATATATATTACCGCAGAAATAATGTTTGTTATATGCAGTAATTCTTACTTTTAAACAAATCTTTGGAAAACAAACTATTTATAGTATTGACCTTACTCTAACCACACCAAACTCAAACAGAAAAATCCTTTGATACTTGTATCATAAAAGTGGATACCATCAGAGACTAGTATATATTAAAATGTCAGTGGTTTACAATAGCAGACAATCCAAATTATGACATCAGTGATATCCTTAAATTTTATGGCGTACTTTGGGTATTAGTTAAAATGAAATTATAGCTCTTCAGAAGCTTATTTGAAAACAGAAGAGGCAAAAGTTTTAATATTATACTCTATTTGGTTAAATTTAACAGTAATGCTTAATTTAGAAGAGCTGACAAATCATTTTATAATTTTTGAAAAAGTATATATTGGGTTTGAGTTTCACATTGTTATAGATAGAGTACGTGAAACTCCATATTGAACAGGATCAAGACTTTGTTTTATATACAAGGAACATTCCTTCACTTGCATTTTCTTGTTTCATAGTGATATTTCTTTAGGCTCATGATGTAAGGTGGTCAGTAAGGACTGGAAATAGTAAATGTGGTTTGGTTGGTACCTAAATGCTTTAAGTTACTATTATTTATAAAATTTAAGCAATTAACAGAAAAGACATATACCATTATAAACACTTACAAAAAAATGATAATTAACTGAAATTATTAATGTGCTGTTTATCAAACTACACCTTAATTACTTGATTACCTTATTGGAACATTTAATATAAAACACATACCTCTTGTAAGGTATTAATATCTACTCCATCTCCTTGAATAACTCGAAGATAAGGTGGCAGCAATTTGTAGCCTTTTGAGTTCTCAGTAACAGGAAACTTCTTACCTAAAATATCCAAAACCTGTACAGAAAAATACATATCGAACACAAAATAACTAAAACTGAAAGTGTAAAAGCTTTCCAAAGTTAAAAAAATGACTGCTAGACAATGTTGAGAATATAAAATTAATCATACTTAAAAATACTTAAAAAATTTTACAACAATGTATAAGCCTTCTCAAATTTAGTCTCAATTCCTTTTGATTATGCTAGAAACCAGCATACTATTTTCTATCAATTCAATCTACATGATAAAGTGGCTTAAAACATAAGATTTTTCTCTTACATCTTTCTTATTATATAGATTCAGGAAAAAACCTTTAACTTAAGAGCTTAAAACAGCAAATATAATACTTTATAGAAAGCATCATTTAACAAACTCATGATTATACTTTTGATTTGAATTTATTCTGCTTGTGCCCAACAGTTTTGTTTGGTTTAATTCTGATATAACTAATATAAATCCATTTGAATTACCAAGTTCAGAGAAATGATATGCAGAAATGAAGCATATATAATCCAGTTTCTCTGAAATTCTCCTCACTTAAAGATGACACCCATTCTTTTTAAACCAAATTGGATAATATGCAAATCATACCACTCATTAACTACTGAAAGTTTTGTAGCAGCTGAAATACCTAAACATTGATTTAAAATTTCTCAGAAATCTTGGTCAGAGATACAAAAGACTCATTAGACAAATTTTCTTCCCAATAATCACTCCTTTTTCCTAAATAAATTGGTTTATAGTTCTAACAATGAGAATATTCCACAGAAATGACTCAGTTTATTCTTAAAACTAGGTTTATACATTTTTATTAGGTAAACAGGAAAAACATGAAACCTGTTAAGTTTGCTAAAACCAAACCTGTTGATCTTTCAGGCCAAGACTTTCAGATTGGCCTATTACTAATTAGGATAGAAAACGACCTCCCTTGATTCTACACGCCCCCCACCACTGCCTTTTTAGAACGCGAACCAGTGGGTTTCATTGACTTTTTTCTGAACTGCTGAAAGAAAAGACTTACTTCTAGCTCTTCTCAACATTTAATGTTCAATAAATACATTCCTTAAATTCCTTAGAGATGATCTCCAGAGCTTAAGGGATAATTTATCATCTAATCATTAGCTAGAAAACAGTGTGGTAAAGTGGGAAGGTGATAGCTAGAAACATCTTCAATGGAGACTTAGCTTATTCCATCTACAGTGGAGACTTAGTTTATGTTCTGTAACCTTGAGCAAGTTACTTTAACCTCTCTAAGCCTGTTTCTTTGTCTATATAAAAGAGAATATTTGTCACAGGATTTTCATAGTGATTAAAAGTTAAGCACCTAACACAGTGTTTTCCTAGTAGTAAAGATCAAATAACCTGCTCTTACTAGTGTTTTTCAAAAAAGGCAAACCAAGTCCTGAACACTAAAAAAATGCAACATTGCTACATTAAGGATCAACAGTATCTCTAAAGAATCAGTATTTGAAAAGTATTTTCAAATTATTTTTATTCCACATCACCTTGCACATATATATTTTTTTGCACTAAAAACGTCAAAGGTATAACAATGATTTGTGATAATGGAAAAGAAACCATAAACTGCTAACCAAATCACAGGACTGGTTAAAATGGTAATGCTATTAATTAATTTTGAAAGTAGAACATATCTATTCAACAGTACTTAACTATCTGACAGTGTATGTAAGCTTAACTCTGGGTATCCCTTCTGTTATTAATGTATGACCTTGGGCAAATCTATTACTCTCTCTGTGCTGCAACTTTAAAATAAGTGGACTGGTCCAGATAGTTCTGTAATGGTGTATGTATAAATGCAATTAAAAGTAGTGTTGATGCAGCTGGTCTACAGGCATTTTAATAATCAAATTACGTATTAAAATTTACCTTTAATAAAGTGTCAAGAGGATTTCCAGAATCAGGTCTGATTATTAGTGGTGCCTCTGTACTTCTTGATACTATTAAATGTCTCAGATCTTCACCCCATATTTTCTCACACGCATTATAAATGTCATAGCTATCGCTGACCACAGATACAGGCACTGATGAAAACTGTGTTACTATATGTTCAAAAGCATCTTTTTCATGGTCTTTCCCCCATGCTGTTATGGTACTAGAAAACAAAATGAAAATAAAGATTTACTTAGGCAGACACATTATCTGTTCCTAAATGATATCTCATGTTTTCTATACTACATCATCAACATTGCAGAGAAAGTGAGTGATTTAATGAATGCAGATCAGAAGCTTAGTTGAACATGTGGGCCAAACCACCCCTTGACCAATTTTTTAAAATTCCTCTCCAATAGTTATTTTAGCTTTTAAGTCATATTGAACCAACTACAGTTTCCCCCATCTTTTTGGTATCCCTGAATCTATCCATTTAAAATCCGTGAACTAAAAAAGTACCTGCACTCTATTCACTATGCCTAGATGTTAGAAAAAATGAACACATGCTCCCATTATTTGCTAGGCGATGTAATTACTTGGCTCCCTTCTGTGAATTTTTGAAACCATATACCAATAACAGTAGGGACATACATTTGCTGTTCTTTTACTTTTCAAAATCTTATACTTAAAGACAATTACTCATACTATACCATACATACATACAGTTGACTAACTCTTAACCTGTTATATCTTCAAATGTCCAGTAATAGGTAGTATTTTATTTCATTTACAGATTATCCACTACCAATTAATATTTGCCCAGGGAATAAGAATCTTAATATCTAGTTAGAGCAAAGCATAATTAAGATGGGAAACAGAGTGTGAGAATTTCTATAGGGCAAGAATGGTTATAGTAATTTTTACAATGTTCTCAATACAATTCTTATTGAATAGAAGAATATATGTAACTTAAGTACTTGCTGGTTAGCTAATGTATGATTTTTAAAATTCTTAAACAGAACAATAATGAATTTGAAAATTGCTACTATTTCCTCATGCCGAGCAATTTTCCTTTCTCTCTGATTTTCTAGTCTGCCTCTACCCCATTTTCCTAAGTAAAATAATGTAAAGACAATTCATTTATTTATTATAGAACCCCATGTGACTATAAGTTTATCTCAAAACTAATTGAAGAGCCATACTAATTTATGTTTGAAACTGTCATTTTATTTTTTTCTAAAAGACTGGAGCAAACAACTTTCCCACACTGTCAATGGTATGCTGGGGATAGCAGAGTTATGTACAATTCAGGGTTATAAAGACTTAGCTACCCAGATACCTCTCTTGTCTAAAAAGGCAAGATAGCCTAGTTATATAAAACTCATTTTATAGTGAATATCCTTCTAAACAGTTACAGAGGCAGCTAGTAGCTATGATGCCAACTCTCTATCAAGAAATGCTACTGTCCTCTTTATTGTGGAGAGAATTAAGCTCAAATATCAGTACTGGAGAGCTTTGTAATGGAAGAAAAAACTCCTATAGTTACAGGTCATTCCAGTTGTTACATCAATTCTTCTAGTATAGTATTTGGTATATGGAGAACATAAATATCTGTTCAATGAATTCTATTCATGCTATTATTACAATTTACAGCACCAAATTAAATGTGATATCTTTCCAAAGTTTGAGGGAAGAGTTATGATACTAAATACTTCTAAGTCCAGATTCATATATTCCTTAAGAAAATATTTATAACAATGATGGCAGTGCTCTAAATTTTAGAGTTCTCTTATAGTTATTTTAGATGTCAGTTCATTTATCCTCAATGACTTTCTGATGTTGGAGATGTAAAATCTTAGCTCCTCCTTTTGTCTGGTTGGATGAAGGAACTGAAGAACAGAGAGATAAGTGACTTGCCCAAGGCCACCCAAGTATGTCAGCTCTAAGGTTACTCAGGTTTCCCAATCTGTCAGTCCAAAGTTCTACTGACAATACTATGCTATTGTTTTAAGACTTTTCTATTTAAGATCATCTGAAATATTCTTATATATCAAGGAGTTGAAATTTACAAATATAGTAAATATTATGTGACTATAAATATAATATGGATTTTCACTGTTTTAACATGAAAGCCCTAAGATATTATCTTTATTCTCAGATTTATAATACCATACTCTTATTACTCTGATACAAAACCATTGGTCAAGAGTCTGTTATATGGATACTACGTTGTTTTTAAAAGATATACATATATCGATGTGTAAAATAAAAATACTGCAACTTTAAAATCTTTAGCTAATGAAAAATGTTCCCAGTTTCACTACTCTTAAATGTGAAAGTATTCAACAAGGCCCTATTAATACACCAATGCTCATAAATGTTACCTGAAAATCTAATCTCTACTGGGCCCCAGTTCAAATCATCAAGTTCTAGGCTAGCAATTTCATCTCCCAAGCCACCGATCATGTTTATCCACTTCTTTCCATTCATTGACCACTTGGCTCTAACCTTGTTATCTCTCTAAACTGCTGCAATAGCTTTCTATAAAGCCTTCTACCTTCTTGTTTCTCTTTTTTCCAGTTTAGAGGATATTCTACCAAAATAATCTTAAGATATCTCTCTAAAATATTTCACTTCTTTGCTCAGACTTCAGTGCCCCCTCCCACTTAAAAATGGAATTAGAATAACCATGAATTTGAGGGCCTTTACTAGCCTGTCTTCTCGGTCTACCCTATGTTGCCTACAAAAATCT